AGCTCAGGAGAACCACTGTCTGGCATTGTCACAGGGTTTGTTTTAGCTCCTGGCCTAAAGACCTAGTATCGCAGTGGGACACACTCATGGCATTTCAGTGACAAACCTGCTTAGGTTCTGACTTGTCCTAGAGCATATGCACTTAGTCACTGAGGGAGAGAGCGAGGAACCAGCTGGTTGGCAGAAAAACACCCTTGGCATGAGCTGTATTGTTGCCACGAGCTGTGGTCCCAGATGGAGGAAAATTTGAAAGAAGCCAGTTGTAAGTGGGGGGAAAGAATAATCAAGTTAATCCTCTTTTGTGTTGGCTATGAGTACTCCTAATCCTTAGCACCACATTGTCAGTATTTTTTTTATTTCATATTCAAAGATGTTTTATTAACCGATAGGGCCATTTTGAATTTTCAGTCGAGAATTTCTGTGTGGTAGACTTTTGGAGGATGGTTCATAAACTGATAATTCTACCTCGCTTTCATTGACCAAGTTAGAACGTATTTCAAAAGCAAATATAATTTTTATTTTCGTCCCTTAGGAGCCTACAGAATGTGGGGCATTTTCTAAGCCATGCTTTGAGAATTGTCCGAACACTATAAATGCCTCCAGGAGAAATGATAATAGTTCATTGCATCCATTTGGCACTTACAGTTCACAAGACAAACAGAAAGGTAAGAGTCTGTCCATTTCCGCCTACTACAAACTGTGAGAAAATACAAGACTATCTTTTTTATTAAAAGAAAAAAAAAGAACAAAGGGGAGTTAATTAGACTAAGTGCAGACTTTGTTACCCTGAGTCATGAGCACTGAGAGGTGATGGGTGGGAAAGCTGACTCAGAAGTTGTGAAGCAGATTCCTGGCATTGCCTCCAGTCTAAATGACAGTTTCTGTGCTTGCTGCCCCAAACATGGAGGATTCTGTATAAAACAAACCATGCCTGGAGAAAAAGAAATGGCAAAGTGTTATTTTTTTTTCAACAATCTTGTAATATAAGAAGTTACCTAATGTAGATAACTATTAAACTTAAAAAAAAATGTATGGACAAGTATTAAACCATAAAATGGTCATATCTTGATTCACAGATTTATGCTTGACTCTAGAAGAGTGTGGTAAATACCATAACTGAGATCTTTTTGTTAACAGTTAGAATGTTCTTATTATTCCCTCCCTATGTTGTCTTTCCCTTATTATGCTGTACTAGTAGACCTCTAGATATAAAACATTTGGACTTTGTTTTTTTGGTTTGAGGGCGAGAAGGAGAGAGAGAGAGTGTGAGTGTGCGTGCGCATGTGAGTGGGGGAGGTGCAGAGAGAGACAAGAGCAAGAGAGAATCTTAAGTAGGCTTCACACCCCACGCAGAGCCCGGTCTTGGGGCTTGATCTCACAACAGTGAGATCATGACTTGAGCCAAAATCAAGAGTCAGACTCCACCTGCTGAGCCACCTACGCGTCCCTGGACTTTTCTTTGTTTTTAAAAAATCGTACTTTAGGTCATCAAGAAAATAAAATTTTTTTAATTTCCCTGCATCTCCTTTCTTTCTAATAACATTAAGTTTTTGTATTGCAAAGGCAATACATATTCATTACAGAAAATTTAGGGAAAAGCAGTAAAAAGAAAATTTAATATTACTCATACTTCTAACTATCAGAGATACTAATCGATAACATTTTTGCATCTATATTTCAATTCTTCATGCAAATATGCATATATAAAATAAGATGAAAATGATATATACTATATATAATGTTTAGGGAATTGCTCTTTTGATTAATAACACATTATGATCATCTTGCTCTGTCGTTGAATATTTTACAGCATCACATTCAGTGGTTGCATAGTAATCTATCGAATGGAGGTACTGTTTGTGTAATCGATCCCTTATTTACATCTAAGATGTCATCCAAATTTAACTACATGAGAAGAATATCTAAACTCTGAGAACTCCATCAGGATAGGCTTGTACATGTCAGATTCCTCTAGAATTTTTTCATCAGAATAGGACGTTGGTTTTTCCTCTGATTCCCTCTGTTTTAGTGAGAGTAGCAGCTACAGCTGTGACCATTTATTAAGTGTTTACTGTCTGTTAGATTCTGTGTTAAGCAATTTACATACCCACTAGAAGTGGGTAATACTGTTATTATAATTACACTCACTTTACAGATGAAGAAATCGAGAGTGAACAGTTTACCCAAGACTACATACTTGATCCATGCAGATCCTGGATTCATCCCTTATCTCTCTGATTCAAGCTCATTCCCTAAACCCCGGCATGGACCCTGTCTTACATTGGTCTCTTGAAATTGCTGAAGTCCTTTCACCTGATACCAAGAATGTCCATTAAAAGCTCACTTGACTTTGTATCAGATAAAGAAATACTCAGTATGTCTTTTCTCATCTTCTTTAAGAAATTAAAATTTGTTTTGACAAAGCGAGATCTCTTCCTGAGACCTTAAATCACAGTAGCAGGAGAATCTGGGGAAGGAACAAGTTTTACACAGACTAGCACAGCTTTCTCTCTATCATGCCCATATAATGATCAAGAACATTACCATCTGTATTAAAATATCTAGCCTTTACATAATTTGATTGGCATTTAATTCTCAAGCAACATGTGATAAGTGATAATCCAAGTTCAGAGTTTTATTCCTAATTATACCACTGACATCCAAAGGAATATTGGCACATTAGCTCCCATCGTGTTTCATTTTTTTCAAGATTTTATTATAAGTAATCTGTACACCCAGCGCAGGGCTTGAACCCACAACCTGAAGAACAAGAGTCTCATGCTCCACCAGCTGAGCCAGCCAGGCGCCCCTCATTTTTAATAGCTATAAAATATTGATGCTGAAGTGATAATTATGCAGAGTATTTTTAGAGGACATCAAGATACCCAGGGAAATCGGATAGTACCTCCAGAAAGGGTAGCAAAGGCCAAAATAATGAAACTATAGAACTAGTTAAGTGTAAGTATACACCCAGAAAAAATATATATTTATTGATTTAAGAAAAAATTTTTAGTGTTTGTTTATTTTTGAAAGAGAGAGACAGAGACAGAGCGTGAGCAGGGGAGGAGCAGAGAGGGAAGGGACACAGAATCTGAAGCAGGCTCCAGGCTCTGAGTTGTCAGCACAGAGCCCGACGCGGGGCTCAAACTCACAGACCGTGAGATCATGACCTGAGCCAAAGTCGGATGCTTAACCGACTGAGCCACCCAGGCGCTCCCAGAAAAAATAAAAAAAATTTCAGTAATAAAGTCTAATCAAAGAACTTGCTAACAATAAAATGGCATAATACTTTGAAACTTCAATAGAATGTTTTGAGTTTGTATTTCCACTGAACCATTAGAGTCCTTTGGGTACACATAGCCATAGACAATTACTGGGAGTCCCTGTTCTCTTCCTTTTGAGACATGCTTCCAGGTGGAACACCTTATTACACCAGTGAATAACCACACAGGTCAACTATCTACAAGGTTCCTACTCCACTTCCTTCCCCCATGTCAGTTTTCCAAGGTGACAAAAAAAAAAAAAAAAATTCAGTTCTTTCAAGAAGTGACTGCAATGAATATTATTTTTTAAAGCAGCAAAAGCCTATTGTTATTTCTGTGTGGATCTGTTATACAATACTCGGTTAAAAAATTAGGCCAATCAAGGCATTGACTCATTACATTTTAGTTGTAAGAGGCCAGTAGATGAAATTCTCTTTTATGTAAGCCTACTGATATATATATATATATATATAT